ACTTGGCAGAGATCAAAAGTAAATCTGAGGAATTACACAATAAACTCCTTAAGGAACAGGGAGGGGAATTGTTCAGGCTTGTCCTTAAAATGAAAAAACATTGAAAAGATTTAATCTGCAAGAATTTCAGGATTTAACATTAGTTTACGCACAATATTCAGATCTACCTGTCACAACTAAGTTGGCAGAAATCTATAGTGATGATTAAATATGGTGTGGAGACCATCTAACCAGAGGTTAGCATCACTATTAGCTTACACATCTCAAAGGGAGTCAAGCTTGACCTACCCACAATGGTCCCAAAGCTGTTGTCCCACTTAACTGCTTGCCTGCTTTCTGGAAAGATAGTGATGCCTTCCAATTTGGCCAACTAAAATATTAGAAAAATTATAGGCAACAAGGCTATTAGTCACAACAGCTATTTATTGTAACCATATCAGTACTGATGCACCTCTAATAGGTTCCTAAAGAAACTGAAACCTCATTGCTATTATTCTTGTCTCATAAAGGTATTGTTTGACACTGTGGTAGCAACAAATGCTGACCTACATAATCCTTTGATTTAATTCAGCAGGACCGGTCTTTTTTAAGTGGTTTTGTTCCTGTCCACTGTCTTTGTTAGCATTTGCTTTTAAGATCTGAAATGAAAAGGAAGAATTCAAACTATGGTTAGCGTTATTTTAGAAAAACACAGATTTGCAGTTATATTTTGCAGTACAGTAATGGGAACTGGGCATTAAATGTTGAAAAAAAATATCTAAGCCTTCAGCTCCTGCCAATCACCCTACAAAATTGCTTCCAATTGCTCATATCTAGGTGTCTCAAAGCTTAGAAACAAAAGTAATCAATCTGGGAGGATATAGCTTAGAGTCAATTCAGACTGCAATGAGGGCATTTAATAATTTCTTCTCCCATCAAATTAATTAACACTTCTAAACCTTGACAAGTTTAAGATGTGTGGGCTTCATGCTGGTTGGTGGATTCTGGGAGTTGAAGTCCGCACACCTTAAACTTGACAAATTCAAAAAACACTGCATCAAATGAACCATTATCCTTAGAGACAGAAAACATATATACTAGTTATGCTTTTACTTAACCTTTTTTTTCTTTTTGAGGGGCACTTCATTATGTTACTGTATGGTCTTTTAGCTACACTCCTGAGGTCTGTATAAACACACCCATTTTCTTAGCAATAAGAAATGGATTTCACACTGTTGTCTTCTGGGATGTTTTCCATTTTACAGTAGTTTACAGCCCTATTATTATGTGATTTCTCTCAGTCAAGTATTAAATAGACATCTGTTTTTGGCTTCCAGGAACAAACAAGGGCACCTGGTATTGCTACCTATAATCTCCCATCCCCACGTGAATAACAGAATAACAGAGTTGGAAGAGACTTTGCAGATCTTCTAGTCCAGTGATAGCTAACCTTTTCTCCGTCGCGTGCCAGGAGGGGGTGGGTGGGAGGGGGGTTGGCCGTGCGTGTGCCCACACCAATTCTATGCACCCCGTCCCCACGCATGCGACCCCCCCGCTCCCCCCTGCTCCTGGCACCCGATGGCCCAGCAGGCCCGTTTTTCTCTCTTACCTGGCTCCAGAGCCTTTCTAGGAGTCCCCTTTCTAGGAGTCCCCAGAGGCCCACCGGAAGTTGGCAAACGGGCCATTTCTGGCCTCCGGAGGGCCTCCAGGGTGGGGTGGGGAAGGCCATTTTCACCCTCCCCAGACTCCTAGAGAGGCTCTGGAAGCTGGAGACAGCAAAAAACGGGCCCTCCAGTCCCACTGGAAGTTGGCAAACAGGCCGTTTTTGGCTTCCGGAAGGCCTCGGCTGGGGGGAGGCCATTTTCATCCTCTCCAGATTCCTAGAGTGGCTCTGGAGGCTGGGGACAGCAAAAAACGGGCCTTCCCCACCGCCCCCAAGGCCCTCCAGAGGCAGGAAACAGCTTGTTTCCCTACTTCTGGTGGGCCCAGAAGACCTGAAAATCAGCTGGCGGAGCTGAGCTTGCGTGCCCACTGATATGGCTACACATGCCACCGGTTCGCCATTACGGTTCTAGTCTATTCCCTGCTCAAACAGGAGATTCTATGTCATTTCAGACAAATCGTTCTCCAATCTGTTCTTAAAAAGCTTCAGTGTTGAAGCAACTTGTGGAGACAAGCCATTCCACTGGTTAATTGTTCTAACTACCATGAATTTCTTAGTTCTGGGTTGGTTCTCTTTTTGATTAGTTTCTACTCATTGCTTCTTGTCCTGCCTTCAGGTGCTTTAGAGAATGGTTGACCCCCTATTCTTTGTGGGAGTCCCTTAAATATTGGAAAACTGATCACCTCTAGTCTGTCTTTTCCCTAGACTAGATATACCCATTTCCTGCAATTTTTCATATGTTTTAGCCTCCAGTTCCCTAATCATGTTCGTAGCTTTTCTCTGCACTTTGAGACTCAACATCTTTTTTATATTGTGGCGACCAAAACTGGATAGTTTTTCCTGGAAGTGGAGTCCCAGAAAATATTACATCTAGACAAGTGGTGAAATGTAAAATTTGTTACTACCAGTTCTGTGGGCATGGCTTGGTGGTGGTGGGGTTAATGTGACTGGGTGGGCGTGGCCAACTTTTTTTTTTTTTACTTTTAAAAGCATTTCTTCGGCCAAAGAAATAATGCTTTTAAAAGTTAAAAAAAAGCCTCTGATGATCACACGGCTCATCTGAGCATGGGGGGGGGCAGGGATTTTTGCTACCGGTTCTCCGAACCACCTGCCGCCATCGCTACCGGATCAGGCGATCCGGTCCGAACCGGGAGCATTTCACCCCTGATCTAGACCTTATAGTTGAATGAAATAACTGACTTCTGCTCAGGGAAACTTAGTTGTAGTTTTTTGGCATTTTGTACTTCCATATCATCTCCTACAGACAGAAGAGCTTCCAACAATTGCTTGGTTTTTTAACTCAGTAATCAAAAAGATTTCAAATTGCCATAAAAAGAAAATCATCTTGTGAAATGCATTAGAGATTAATTTCTAGAGGGAACTATCTCAAGTTGATTCACTGCAAGGATATTTTTACATTCCCTTTGTGCAACATGACTTGCTCTGAAGGATAAGAATAGAATGGCTGGATTTCTAAGGAAGCAGTTTGGCAAAACAGAACAGTCCTAAAGCAACAACAATAGAGCAGACTTTCCTTCACAATGAAGGTATTATATTAGAGAAAATCTAAACTCCCCCAGTGACAAGAGGGATACACTAGATGACTTCTGAAATAATTGTGTGTAATAACCCGTCAGTGTTGTCTTTCTCAAATAGTGGTACACAATATTTATTTTTTTTCAATTAACTTGTCTGACACTTGATCTTTTTGGGAAAAGGTTGAATAGTTTGAAAACCATAGCCGACCTTGCAAAGAAAGTGGGACATTCCCATTTCTGAGCTATTCATAGAGAGATTAACCAAAATGGGAGTAAGACCAGAGACAGCATCAGGTAACACAACTCTCAGAAATTACTCCATATGATGCTGGCACTGTATTGTAAAATGAATAATCTAGCAAGTTTTCAGGAATGAAGAGATTCTTTTCAATTCAGATCTTCTACACTCAAGAGGTTATTTCATAGAATATTTCTAAACAGGTAAAACCAATAAAAGTAATAGCTTTGGTCTCACATTGACAGAGGATGGGAGATAAAAACAAGAATACAAGGCAAGTATAGAAGAGTGCTATATTGTGTTTTTCTGACCATGTTAACAATTGACCTAGCCTGTCTTAAATGTGCTTGTCTCTTTCCTACTCCGCAAGTCTGGAAATTCCCAAATTTTCCTACATTGACTGCCAATGCATCTCCCTGTTTTTAGGCAATTGTTTTTTTCCTAGTTCTACACGGAAATGTCAGAGTTGAATGTGGAACCTTTTACTTGAAAGTCATATATCATCATGCTGAGCCGTGGATCAGTCCTTGTACTTGTACACATCAATTGCCTAGTACGGTACTTTTGTCAACATCATTAATGAAATGGGTAACTACACTTTCCATTTCCCAGGCTTTTAAAAATCTGTAATAAGTTACATAAATATTTTTGCAGTTGTTCTTGGCTACATTTTATTTTATATTTTGTATTATACTTTTTATAGTTTCGTTAGCTACAGTGGAGACTCTTGTAGCTGATTTTTTAAAACCAATTCATGATATGCTTGAATATATTGTTGAAAAGGGTTCTTCTGATTTATTAGTTGCATATCTATGCCACCCAACTCCCTAGGGACTCTGGGCGGCTTACAGCAAAAAAAACAATGCGAACAATATCCCATAAAATTTTTTTAAAAGAACATTAAAAACCCATAGACTCCATTTCATGGCCGGGTCTCGCAAGATCACCGTAGCGAGATCAATGGCCCCAGGCCTGCCGGAAAAGCCAGGTCTTCACCGCTTTCCGGAAGGCCAATAGGGTGGGGGCGGTCCGGACCTCAGGAGGTAATTGGTTCCAGAGAGCCAGGGCAGCCACAGAGAAGGCCCTCCTCCGCAGGCCCGCCAACCGACATTGTTTAGCCGACGGGACCCGGAGGAGACCAATTCTGTGAGATCTTACCAGTCGATGGGAGCTATGCGGTAGAAGGCAGTCTCGAAGATAGCCTGGCCCTGAGCCATGTAGGGCTTTAAAAGTAATAACCAACACCTTGAATTGCGTCCGGAGACCGATAGGGAGCCAGTGCAGCTCACAGAGAATTGGTGTAATGTGGGTGTATCTAGGTGCACCCACAATACCTCGCACGGCTGCATTCTGATTGCCCAATTACAGCCGTTTCATTTTGAATTGCATCCACAAAGTAGTTTACATAAATCTTAGTGCTGATGAAACTCACTGTTACCACCACTTTATACATGTAATTGTTAATAAATATGCATTGCTTTTCATTTCTGTATAATTCAGGTCCATGGAGCGATTTAATATATGTCTTTGATTGATGACAGTTTTCAGGTTCCAAGTTAAGCAAAATAACACAAAATAAATGTAAAATGTCAATATGGGATTTAATTTCATCTAAAGATAGCGTAAAAAAATAATATACAGAATAATAGTAGAATATACTACAGTGCATATTTTAAAACTTTAGAGACAATTATTTGTTCATTAAACTAACTACCCAATGAAATGAACTCTTTCAGCAATTTTTTAATACCAATTATAATAGTGCTAAACAACCTGAATAATATATCCCACCCAAAATTGCAAGTTACTTGCAACAGTCATTCAGATCTACAGTAACTATTTTCATTAATTTTGTTTTTGTTTTTAAAAAGCATGGCAATAAATGAGAATGTAACAACGAAGTATTTAATTTTTGTGCTTTCATTAAGATTCATTGCATTTTTAGGAATGTAAAAAAAAACCTTGTTTACCTAATTTCTTTTTACACTTCTTTTTCTTCTGGTACACATTAAACAAAAAAAACTATACTAGCTTGGGGAGTTAGTATGTACCTAATCAAAGTAATTTGCAGTAATTGCAGAAGAAAATGTACCAGTACTGAGTCAGTACACTACTTTTTTAAACTTGATAACGAAAAAATAATTATTCAGAGATTATAATTCAGATGTCTTGTTTATGTTCACGTAAATAGCTTTTTTAAAAAAAGTTTTGGAAGTCTTAATTAGTAAATCCTGATCAATACCAAACTGCCCTTAGCTCTCACGTCAGTTTTAAAAGTAGCCACAGGCATCTCATCAAAACCTGTAAAATGGTGGACTCATATGACCATCTTAAGTGTTTTGACACCCACCTACCCTGCTTTCCTTTGCCTCCTTGCCCCAGAGGCCTTTGAGCCTTATTATGATGGTAGGAATAATTATGATCAAAGCGCGGGTGGGGGGGGATCCATCTTCCCAAGGTCATGAAACTAGACCATGTTAAATTCTCCATTTCCAAGCTGAATTATTCTGGACTACATTTGTAATGACACATTATCAGAATGCAAATGCCGTATGACAAATTCCTAAATTCCATACAGGAAGAAAACTGCTATTTTTGTGACTAATAAACATAACTATTGTAGAAAGGCAAAGCATAATGAGACCAGAGAAAATGGAACATTCCCCCCCAAAAAATGAATTTAGAAACATTTCAAAAATAAGACAAAATGTCAATGCCTTATTTGAAACTATAGCAGAAAAACAAAGCCAAGGAACTACAACTAGATGTGTATACTTCTAAACATTGGAGAACAATATTTATTCTTTTTAATCCGAGAACCAGAATGTATGGTACCTAGCATCCAGCAAGAGTAATTTAATTATATACCTTCATAATGTCTCATGGTCCTGGGCTCTTCTTTTATTATAAATTATAGACTCTTGAATAGCAATACACATACTCCTTCCACAACCCAACATAGAGATATTAATTCCTAAACATTCAACCTGTTTAAGAATTCTGGAGATTTGCATTATTTGAATGTTCTAATGCAGGGGTCTCCAACCTTGGCAACTTTAAGACTTGTGGACTTCAACTCCTAGAATTCCTCAGCCAGCTTTGCAAAGTCCACAAATCTTAAAGTTGCCAAGGTTGGAGACCCATTCTAATGTACTGTTATTATCAAAATACAAGTTCCTCATTCATTTCCACCCTTTCAGATGAGGCCCAATAAGAGCCGACTAGTAGAACTTCTATGAAAAAGGAAACATGGTCTACAATAAACCACATACCATATACCAGTAGTCCTCGACTTACAACAGCTCACTTAGTGACCATTTAGTGACCATACAGCAGCGCTGAAAATGACTGTTTTTCACACTTATGACAACTTATGCAACATGCCCAGTTACATGATCAAAATTCAGACACTTGGCAACTGACTCATATTTATGGCAATTGCAGTTCTCTCAGGCATGTCCTCACTTTTTGCAAGCTTCTGTCAAGCAAAGTGAATGAGGAAGCCAGATTCATTTAACAAACCGTGTTACTAACTTAACAACTGCAGTGATTCACTTCCACTACTGTGACAAGAAAGCTTGTAAAATGAGGCAAAATTCATATAACAAATGTCTTGGACAGAATTGTGGTTGTACATCGAGGACTACCTGTAGAATTTTGCAAATTGTAAGGCTCAAATGAAATTAAAATGGTTACATTTTATAATGACATTTTATAATGTTATTATAAAATGACATTTATAAGTCATTTTAAATGACTTATAAATGAGTCATTTTATAAGACTCATTTTTCTGAGTCTTATAATTGCAAAACTTTGTTGCAAAGAGGCCCTGGGGAAACACAACACAGATTTCTGTGATAATATCACAGATAAATCAAAGGCTCAATTGCCTTAATTTACACAACAGGATGTACCGTGAACATGTAACCTGTAAGAACATATTCTTACAGGTAAGAATATGATAGCAGCAGCAATTTTTTGCCTTGACTGTACATGATCGTTTGCCTATCTATATTCTCCATATATACAATGTACACAGTAGGCACTTTTGGGACAGCTGGGAATAGAGATGAGGTCTGTGCAGCACCACAGATTCAAAAAGCATAATAGGATTTGCCTGTTCAGAACAGTTCCAGACACTGTGTCTCATTGGGCTCACACAAAGTGCCTTTCGCAGATGCCGTGTAAGCCCAGGAAAAGGTGCTTGTGATTTAATGGGTTTCCATCATGTGTTCCACATGTAATAAATCATCATTTGTCCTCTGAATCTGGTTTGCTGTGTAGCCCTAGTAGAAGCATCCATAAACGCAGTTTACAAGTGCATAAGAAGTTTGTAAACAACACATATACTGGAGCACATCAATTGCCTTAATGCAGTGTTTCTCAACCTTGGCCGCTGGACGATGTGTAGACTTCAACTTCCAGAATTCCCCAGCTCTGCTGGCTGAGGAATTCTGGGAGTTGAAGTCCATACATCGTCCAGCGGCCAAGGTTGAGAAACACTGCCCTAATGCATTCACTGTGCATTACATAACTGTGAAGATTGTTTTTATTTTGCTGTTTTAATACAAAGTCAGACATATGAGAGAATACACTCTTTTTCTGCTCTTCCTCCTTCTGTTTACCTTTCTTCTATGTACCCTGCTGTTCTCCAAAGATCTCTAGGACAACAAAGACCATGTCAGATGTCATTATGTCACAAGAAAAATAAAGGTTTTTCCCTCACTAGTTTTTGTTTAGACAGCAGCATGTCACTGCTCAGAAATAATAGGCTACATGACCTTAGATGTAATTAGTACCATAATACATTTGATTATTTTGTGGAGCAGTTTCCAAACAAAAAAGGACAACAGAACCTTTTTCACAATTTGATAACTGATCTAATAGGATGAGAAATATAATAGCATGGGAAATACAATGCAACAGTACAAGTTTATATGTTTCTTATTAAAGCCACCATTGTTATGAATATGACTTCATTTGAAATCAAGAAACTTTATGTTAAAAATATAATTTAACACTGCATTAATTTCAGCTATAATTAATGCCTAATTAAAAATAGGAGAATCAGGAAAAATGTATTCTTTCCAATAACATACAGTATATTACACTTAAAAATATCCATTAAAACAGTATTAGAATGTGGATTAAAGTGGGTAAGCCCCACTAAAGTTTTTAGTTTACATAATAAAAATAATTTTTATTAATCACGTTGCAGCCTACATTTTAAAATATCTAGCTAATTTAGAATATGTTTATACTACTTTATAGTAGTTGTGTATGTGTATCTCACAGTATGTGGTGCATTCCAACAGAAAGGCACAATTATCAAGCAAAGAATACAGTACATGGAATAAGTGGTTTGTGTTCACAAATTAAAAATATGCTAAAGCTATCAGGTGCTGTAAGCCAAGTATCATTAAATTTTAGGTTTATTAGCATAGCGTCCTACCTGTATGTAAAAATAGGTGTGTATATGAGAAGGAAAAAAAAGCTTTTTCATTACAACATAGCCATTTGTGGCTGAGGGATATGACATGGCTTTAATTGACCATAGATAGAGCTTCTGGATCAGCTGTAAACATAACTACTTTAACATATTTAAATAGAGAGAAAATGGTGCATTTATAGTCTGATGCGTATTTATGCATACACATAAATCCATTTGCTATTTATAATGTTGTTACAATAGTAAGACTTAAACATGGCATTTCTCAAGGACCTGAATCTATAAGGTTTTTAACCAGTATCAAAGATTTGAGCTCACTGCCTGCCGCATATAATTTTCGCAGAGGCAATATCATAGCACTTCTCAAAAGGCATTCCATCTCTCGCACAGATCAACTGTCCATCACTGTTTCCATATGAAGAAAACACACTAACACGTGGACAGTCCAATTAGGCAAAATAAGAAAGGAACCAAGAAAGTCACTGAGAATCCCATTGTTCCATAAGTAATATAGCGATAAGGCAGTTCAACTTCCATATGCTGTCGGGCTTCTCGAACATCTGCACTAGAAATACCGAAGACTTTACAGGCCAGTGGGATGGTGATCTTCTTCATGATCATTCTGACCAGCAACAGAAAAACTAATCCAATCAATAATCGCAGTGCAGCCTTTCCAAAGAGGTTTAAGGTGAGTGTGGGAACTAACGGAAGCATTTCTGGTGAAGGATCTAGCATTCCATTCAGTCTATAGGTAGCATAGGAGCCACAGGCAATTCCAGCACCGCTGCCCAAGATTTGAGCTGTATCTCCTCGGGATGTGCTCCACGTGTCTAGAGTGAAAGAAAACACCCCCAAGGCAAGATGAATACTGACAATGACTAGCGGAGCATATTTGAAAGTTAAGTTGAAATTATCTACTAGATCCACAGTTGGAAGGAAGACGACCAAGATGAGAAGAGCATAAAGAAAACCAGCAATAACATCCTGTTGCAAGAGATAGAAAAAATAATAATAATTAATAAATTATATGAATTATGACAGTTTTACTGAATATAAATTAAATATTTTCAAAATACATTTCCCAGAAAATTATTTAGAGAAGATTCTGAAATCATACATTAAAAACAAAGGAAAGAGAAATAGATTACAGCGGGCACTCATGTTCGCTATAGGAAAACATGTCTTTTTTCCAACACAGAACAATTAACAGTTAAGTACTCTTTTGGAGGAAGATTTTAATGTACAGTATCCAACAGTTACTGGGCCAAAGCAGTAATGCTATTTATTCAGATAAATAAAACATTTGTGGAACAAGATCACATGTCCCTGAAGATAATTTCCTGCATAAAACTTAAATAATCTCAATCATGCCATATCTCTAGTTACCATGAGAAATCTCAAAATGTGTACATCTAGGCAGAAGTTTATTTCCCTAAAACAACATTACTCAAAATCCAGAGGTTTAGGGTGCAGCCCCTATGTGTGCACAGCAATTCATGACAGAAAGGGGGTGACATTTATTTGAGGAAGGAGCCTCAGGATATCAAATGAGAACAAAGAAGCAGTAAGAAGAAACTATTCCTCCAGAACTTCAGAGAGTTGCTGAAAAAAAACTAATAGATTAATTTAAAGACAAAAATGAGCTGGACAAATGATATACATAAAATGAGTGACAGAATTTTATGTACAAAAATGACATCAAGATAAAAAAATCATTTTAAAAAAAATGACATAAATAATTCCATTGACATTTTACATTTCTCTACTACAGATAGTCCTTGATTTACAATGAAGTTACGATGGATCCCCCCCACCCCAAAAGCTACTTAACTATTTGGTTTCAGAGTTACAGCCGCTGCAGTGCCCCTGAGGTCACATGAACAAATTTGGGTGCTTGACAAGCCGCCTGCCCTTACAAGTGACCTCAGGGATATTGTATCACACCTCTGGTTATCTCCCTCCATCCTGCCCCGCTAGGTCCCCACAGGCTTTGGGCATGGTTCCCATCCTACTGGATCCTACACTCTTCTTCCCACCTCCTCTGTCACCAATCAGTCACTTATCTTTACCGCTGAACTCCTAATAGCAATAGCAATAGCACTTAGACTTATATACTGCTTTACAGCCCTCTCTAAGCGGTTTACAGAGTCAGCATATTGCTCCCAACAATCTGGGTCCTCATTTTACCCACCTCAGAAGGACAGTAGGCTGAGTCAACCTTCAGCCTGGTGAGATTTGAACTGCCACATTGCAGGTAGCCAGCAGAAGTAGCCTGCAGTACTGCACTCTAACCACTGCGCCACCATGGCTCATTTCATACTAAAAGCAGCTGTTTCTCTGCATGGCCTTCCTATATAGTGGAGGTCAGATGGGTCTGTCCTAGAAGCAGGCACCATTTCAGAGCAGCCTCAGTGAATCCAGGGACGCCCAGGGGAAATTCCCCAATTCAAGCTCTGCAGCTCCAGAGCCATTAAGATAATGAGCCATTAAGATGAGAAGCAGACTCCAGGCCTGTAGAGACCTCAAGAGGAGGACCTGTAGGGACCTCAAGTGGAGTATAGGGTAGCTCAGAGGATAGTGGAGGCTTTGTGAGGCCTAGGGTAGGGATATACTAAGCCTTCCAGTTTTTTCCCTATCCCTGAGGCGCCTCTTGCTCACTCAATGACTACACCGGGGAGAGCAAGGATGAGGTTGTTAAGCGAGGAAATCATGTAGGTGCCTTTGTTTAAGGATCATCACTATTTGCAATAGCAGGCTCCATTAGGGATATAAGTCAAGGACAACTTGTACTCATATACAAATGGAATAAACATAGAAGAACCTATTTCCAGGAATTCTTTCCAACCTCTTTAGAACTAATGGCCAGAAGAGATCCCATATTGACTTCTGTGTAACAAAGAAATGACTTGCCTCTATGTCGAAGTGCATATTTCTGCTCTCCTCGAACTTTGCACTTGTGAATGTGTGTGCACTGGGAAGTAAAGAGCTACCAGCCTCTTCAAGATAATGCAGATGAAGAAATAGATTCTACAGCAGTGTTTCTCAACCTTGGTAGCTTGAAGATGGGTGGACTTCAACTCCCAGAATCCCCCAGCACAATGGTTCATTTAGTGACCGTTCAATGTTACAACATCATTGAAAAAAGTGACTTATGCCCATTTTTCACCCCTATGACCATTGCAGCATCCCCATGGTCACGTGATCAAGAGTCAGACACTTGGAAACTGACTCCTATTTATGATCTTTGCAGTGTCCCAGGATCGTGTGATCACCTTGTACGACCTTCTGACAAGCAAAGTCAATGGGGAAGCCAAATTCACTTAACAACCATGCTACTAATTTAACAACTGCAGCGATTCACTTAACTGTGGCAAGAAAGGTGATAAAATGGGGCAAAAATCACTTAACAAATGTCTCACTTAGCAACATAAATTTTAGCCTCAACTGTGGTCGTAAGTGGAGGACTACCTGTATTTGATTGAAGTAGTTATAACAGAAATGGGCAATTCTCCCTCTGTATTTTCCCTTTAATACCCCGGGGAGTGGCAAGGAGCAGGGGAGAGAAGCAGTTTGAATCTTTTTCCAATAATTTTCTGCTTCTCTACATTTAATACACGTCTTCTGCACCTGATATTTCCCTAATGGCCCTAGTGTCAGGGTTTCAAGTAACTCATCCTTCCAAGATCACCTCCCTGACTCCCTATAAGGGCCGGCTGCAGAGGTTCCCATGAGTCACATGACCAGGAAGGATGAGTGTTTGGAATGGCGCAACCAACAATGTTCTGAACTGATAATCCAATCCATGCATTTCTATCCAAAATGACATAAAGGATTGGATTATCAGTTCAGAACATTGTTGGTTGCGCCATTCCAAACACTCCTCCTTCCTGGTTAACACATAAATTAACCTTGTGAGAAAGAGATGGGATGACTATGACTACTAAGACAGTTTACATCTGCATCTCAAAAGGGTCTAGAAAAGGAAACAAACTCCAAATTAAAAATTATTATATAAATTATAAATTATCCAACATTTGAGTGCATGTGTATGTTATCCATGCGCACGTATTGAGAAAAATGATTAAGTCTGTATTATATGTGCTTGTACTCAAGATTTTGGCTGTTTTAAGCTTCTTTAATTCAGGGAACCAAGTTGGGTAGACTTCTAAAGTCAATGCAATCTCTTTCATTGATAAAGCAAAGATTCATTCAAGTTCATTCGAGCTCATACAGATAGTCCTCAACTTACAACCGTTTGTTTAGTTACTGTTCAAAATTTTGTTGTTGTTAGTTGCGAAGTCGTGTCCGACCCATCACAACCCCATGGACAACGTTCCTCCAGGCCTTCCTGTCCTCTACCATCCTCTGGAGTCCATTTAAGCTCATGCCTACTGCTTCAGTGACTCCATCCAGTCACCTCATTCTCTGTTGTCCCCTTCTTCTTTTGCCCTCAATCTTTCCCAGCATTAGGCTCTTCTCCAGTGAGTCCTTCCTTCTCATTAGGTGGCCAAAGTATTTGAGTTGTTCAAAATTACAGTGTGACTTATGACCGTTTTTCACACTTATGACCATTGCAATAAGTATTCACTTACCTTCCCTACCGGTTTGCAAATGTGTGCGTGCATGCGCAGAGCTTCGAAAAAGTAGAAAAATGGAACGTCATGATGTCTGCACGGGTGGGTGGGGCATCCCGCAGTCGCCCTATTGGTCTGCCCGAAATGGATAGAACCGGCTGAATACCACTACTGATCCCCACGGTCACATGATCAAAATTCAGATACTTGGCAACTGGCATGTACTTATGATGGTTGCAGTGCCTCAGGTCATGTGATCTTCTTTTGTGACATTCTGACTAGCAAAATCAATGGGGAAGCCAGATTCACTTAACAACCATGTTACTAATTTAAAAACTGCAGTGATTAACTTTTCAACTGTGGCAAGAAAGATCATAAAATGAGACAAAATTCACTTAACAAATGTGTTGCTTAGCAACAGAAATGTTTATTCATTTATTTATTTATTTTATTTAAATTTGTATACCGTCCTTCTCCTGGTGGACTCAGGGTGGTGCACAGCCAAGTAAAAAACATCCAATACAAAATTTAAAAATTAAAAAGAATTATACCCTTTGGCCAAAAATTAAGAACCTTACGACTAAAACCCATTAAACAATTAAAAATCTAATATCTCAAAAACGGGAGGGGGGGGGTTCACGCCAGCCCTGCTTGATGGAAGAGAAAAGTTTTTAGAGCGCGGCGAAAAGCCCGGAGATCTGATATAATCCGTATCTCCGGGGGCAAATCGTTCCAGAGGGCAGGTGCTGCCACAGAGAAGGCCCTCCCCCTGGGGGTCCCCAGCCGACACTGCCTAGCTGGCGGCACCCTGAGGAGTCCCTCTCTGTGGGAGTGTTGGGTTCAGTTGTACCTATATACCGTTTGTAGAAACAATACAGACATGGTTGCTCAGTACCTTTTCTTCCTCACTTCTCATTCTTGTCCCAATGCTGGTATACTTACTAAATACTAACCAGATCCAACCCTGTCTAGATCAAGATCAGTCAAGATAGTTGCTGCTACCTGATACAAAATGGGTCGTTCTGGGCTCCATCAGAGGAATAAAGGGGAAGCCCAGCCAGAGATTGAAAAGAAGGCCAAAACAGGAAGGAATATGTGCTTCCGTGCTCCATGCAACGTAACTTGTTTGACTGGAGGGAAAATACTTTGCAGTGGTCTCCAGCCTAATCCTGGTCAGCATGATTACTTTCTGTCTATCCATTCCCTCAACGGAGCCCTCAAACAGTTGGGAGTTTTGGATCTTCAGCCTTGAAATGTGGCTAGAGGGGAAAATGCTTCCTCTGCAGTAGAAGATAAAGCTAAAACTGAGAAGGAGTTGAACTCTACAGCAGTGTTTGTCAAAGTTTGCAATTTGAATTGGCTGGGAAATTCTGGGAATTGAAGTCCCCACATCTTAAAGCTGTCAAGTTTGACAAAGACTACAGGATGGCAAGACATTTAGCTCCGCCTTCTAGATGGATTAAACTCATCTCCAATTACCAAATGACCAAGTGTAGCCTAAATGTTGCTGTAAGAGATATCATCATTGTCTTTTACAGTAGAGCTTAAGCTGACATAATTTTTCAGAAAATATGCATTATAATACGACTATTGTTTAATGTTAAGTTTTTAATATTTGTGATTTTTTTTTCTTACCAGAACTGTATGCATTCCCATATATACTCGACTGAAACAAACCAGAGAAGACCAGCAAATTGCGAGAATCAGCCCGTATATGAAAGGATACTAGAGAAAGAAAAACAAGACATATTGTTTTGAATCAGATAACTATATAATTTCCCAAGTTATTTGCAACTGAATTTTTACAATACATGGATGCCATCATTCAAAATAGTAACTTACAATACAGGCATAAAATACAATTATCATACACTTTTTTCACTTGTTCGTCCTTGATTTCAAATTTCAGTACATTCAATACACATTTTGGCAATTACATCTTCATCATTTGTACATAATTCAGCTTCAAATTCTGTCTTCTCTGCTCAATTCCAAACCTCCAGCTATCAACCTTGAATTTTTCTCTTAACTATGTGTACAAAAACTACTGAAAACTAAATCCCTCTGTAACCAATTGTTCCCTTGGTTTCATTTTATAATCTCAATCTCTGCTACCTGCTATCATCAGGTAGACAACAATTTGGCTGTTGCAAGTGAAAAACAATATAGACTGCTTTTTTGAAATTGGTAAAGCTTTCTGCTCACAGAAAGAAACAAAACCAACTCTTGCATTTTGTTCTTCTTTCACCAGAGAAGTGTTTCTCAGTTAAAGATAAATTTCTAAGTGAAATCCGAATGTATTTGATCACTTGGTCTGAATTATTTTGACTTATGATCATTAATTATGTGCCATCCAGTCATTTTTTCTCCTAGTGGCCACGTAGGTAATTTTCTCCATGATGATTTATCCCAAACCTGTCCTTTCATATCTCCCAATGGTGTACTCATCGCTACTGCTGCTGAGTCTGTCCATCTTGCTGCTGGTCATCCTTTTTCACCTTCTTTCATTGTCTTAAAAGTCCTCTTTCATTTTCATAGAAAATTCAAAAATTCAACCTTGCAATAAACTGTTGGTTTGGATGTAATAAGATTCCTGCTTTGAGCAGGAGGTTGGATTGCAAGACCTCCAAGCTCTCTTCCAGCCCTATGATTCAGAAAACAGAGGACAAGAACCATACAACTTGGCATAATTCTGATATAACGATTACAAACATACATGGTATCATTTACAAAGTCCATCCTGCTTGTCTGCAGCTAAAATTATTTTAGGACTTGTTGGAACACTCTTTAGGACTATGTTGCCTCACAATCTGTTCTAATATTAACAGACTATCCTCCTTTCAAAATCTTGGATTTGTACCATATCTCTCCATAAGGAATAAGTAACTATGGCTTATGAGAAACCCAAGTACTGGAGCTAGTTAATACAAAACAAGACATGACCTCTGAAGGACTTTTGCACGAAGAGAGCATAAGATATTTCATTTCACATACCATATAGTTAAAGAATGCAACTCGTTATCTTAAGATAATTAAAAAGATCCAATTCATGGAGGATAAGATTAACTGACTAGCGACTGCTCTCGATTCCTATTCCTGGAAAGCCAAAGATGATGTTATGCTCATATTCTCCTTGTGAGCATCTGATAGAGATCTGGTTTATTGTTGAATGTTGGACTAAAAAGACCTTTGGTCTGAGCCAATAATAATGTTCTTATTACTGTTTGTGACCTTCCAAGGGCAGACAGAAATGCTGGCTCAGTTAGAAAGCAATTACTTGTTGAGGATTTTCAGGCATACAGTATAGAAAATAGCAAGTGCTGGTAATAGTTCCTTTGGAGACTTCTACTGATCTGTCTCAGCTGCTGGTCCCTAATTTCCACCTATTAGATATTAAAATGCAATTCTGTAATAACATATATATTGGCAATTTGTAGCTTTTCTATATAAACTACCCAACCACTTAGCTAGTATTTTCTTCTGTATCCCCTCAGAGTTTAATATGAATTGGCATGGATTGCTTTCCTTTCTTCTTTGAAAAAATAGTATATATGTGTGTCAGGACACAGCCAATTTTAAAAGAAATAATTAAGCTAAGAGATAATGTGCACAAGATTATCAAGGAGAGACTTACCCAGTTTCAAAAACAACCTTGATCATACACTCACAGAGAAGAATTGAGAAAAGACATCTAGACCAAATTATTTGTCAAGCGAAAATTATTGGTTTGTAAATTTAATAATTTAATTCTATCATGATTCTGAGCAGCATAAAGTATCAATTTAAAACAATAGAGTATAAGCAAAAATATCCACAAAAATAACAGAATTTTGGCAAAACAATCAGCCCAAGATGTTCATTTAAATACAAATTCATTTTCAGAAGGCTCTGAAAGTTGTATTTTCATAAAGTAACCAGTGCCCATTTAGATAAAACTATATGCTACTTCAGCAAACAAACAAACAAAAAAAACCTAAGACTTTTATGGTTAACCATAATTCATTGAAGAACACATAATTAAACATAATTATGGTTAACCATAATTCATTGAAGAACACACAATTGACTGAATTTACACAAGCCTCAAATCATGGTTTAAAAACAAGTAAACATTAAACCAAAACTAAACAAGCCACATTCTAGCTTATCAGTGTATTGTATAATACATATTGTTCACATCACATATAACATATACAACTGAATGAACAAACTGTTCGTGCTACATATAAATTCATATTATTTGACAAATATTCATCCTAGGCAATAGACCACATATCACACTCATTACGCTTATATCAGCTATTTTCTTAAATTTTCTCCCTTATAATTATTTTCTTTTTCATTTTTAGTACTTAATCTGACAATATGCACCAAGTTACGTACTGATTGTTTAAATGTAAAGATAAAGGTTCCCCTTCCACATATGTGCTAGTCGTTCCCGACTCTAGGGTCAACTCCATTTCAAAGCTGAAGAGCCAGCGCTGTCCGAAGACATCTCCGTGGTCATGTGGCCAGCATGACTAAATGCCAAAGGCGCACGGAACGCTGTTACCCTCCCACCAAAGGTGGTCCCTGTTTTTCTATTTGCATTTTTTACGTGCTTTCGAACTGCTAGGTTGGCAGAAGCTGGGACAAGTAATGGGAACTGTTAGGTGGCACTTGGGATTCGAACTGCTGAACTGCCGAACTTTTGATCGACAAGCTCAGCATCTTAGCCATTGAGCCACAGCGTCCCATACTGATTGTTTACTATGTTCATTATTTTCCCTATCAAGCACAACTACCTTATTTTTTAATGTAATTTTCTCATCCAGACTCATTTTGTCTGTGGTGATAAAAGATACACACACACACACACACACACACACACACAACTGCTTAAAGTGCCCTTAAGGAAACTCACAGCCAATTGAAATGACCCTGTGTGGTGACAGGGAGAAAACAAACTTAGGAGCCTAAGGCCCAGTAAACCAGAATGTTTCTATTCACTGACCATATCTCAAAGATAGCACAGCTAGCATGCTGACCTAGCAGGAAGGGATAAATAAATTTATCTAAAATATTCCTGCGTCATGCTTAATTTTCAGTGTTTGCCTTTTCCTTTGTCCTGCCTTTGAAATGTAATGGACCAAAGATATATACTGTAAATTCTGATTCTGTTTTTGCTCATAGCCACTCAACAAAGTATCAAAGCTGTCCTAGGAATCTAGTATATACTGTATTATTGTTTGTATGCACGCAAATAAAATTATGTCGTATCTTCAAAGTGATTTGGTTGCTTTAGGTGAGCCAAATTTTGGGTGCAACACATCATACATTCTGTCAATTATTTGCCACAAATTATTCATGTTCTCAGCCAATTAACAGCTTCATCTGCATAGACATGAATAGACATTTATGCCCGAAATCAATATACTCTTCAGCAGCAAATGGTCAACATTTATTCATAAAAACATTAAATAACCAAGGAGATTGGATTGATTCTTTTCCGACTCCTTTCTCCATGCTAAATCAATTTATTCTCACACATGGTTTATTGCCTTCCAAAACCTTTGTTGTTGCCTTCAGCAAACACCTTCAACTCTTTCTTTATGTAAAACATTCCATAATACTAGTCTAATACTTTATCATACACTTTCTCTAAATCAACAAATGTAAAGTAAACTTCTTAAGTCAATGCACTTCTCAGTGACCTGTTGAAGAACAAAAATTTGGACTGCACATTTCTGCCTTGCATAGAGCACACTGCATTTCCTGAATTTTATTTATCTCTTTATAAACACTGCAACATCAAACTTTCCAAATGTTGAATACCTTCCCAGCACCACTTAATAAGGTCATAACCTCCCTACAATTCATGCATTCACTTTTGTTACATATCTCCACAGAGGAACAACAGTGACGTTCCTTCAATCAGTAGTCTCACTCACATTAAGCAATTTATACAGCTATTCCACAAGCAAAACACACCAATATTTTAATATTTATCTAGCTATAACCATCTATTCCTGCAGCGTTACCAGGTTTTTCAACATTCTTAACAATGTATGATCCGGGGTGAAATTCACTTCCCTTCCCTTCCGATTCGCCAATGTGCGCGCGCCATCGTCTGCACATGCACAAAGCATTCTGTGCATGCGCAGAGGCTTAAAATGTCGCAAAAAAGCGACATCATGACATCCATATGGGTGGGCGGAGCCTCCCGCAGCCTCCGCTATCAGTTCGCCTGAGCTGTAGAGAATTGGCTGGATTTCACCCCTGGTATGATCTTCTTTTGGTCATTTTTTTCTTGGACACTAACATTTTTCATACTTATTTCAATTCCCCTCTTCAACATATCACTATCATTTCCATATTGATTTCCCAAATACTTCTTTCAGCATTCTCTTGCTTCATCCCAATCATTCCATCATTTTCATTATTATTTCCCAGCTGCTGGCTCCTTGTTTAGCACTCTTCCTTGATTTTCATTTTTTTAAAAAATTCCCATCAAAATTGGTTAGCATTTTTTCTGCCTCTTTTTATCTTAACAATCTCTACTGGGCTGAAGGTACAACTGGCTGCCAAGGTTGGCTTTGAAAATTATCCCCCAGCAACCTGAGAGGAGAAAAACATAAACCAGGCCCGAAGATCAAAAGCTTGTTCAATTATAGAAAAAAGGGTAAAGGCCATGCAACTGACAAAGAATGACAATTCTTCCAACATTTTATATATTGAAATATTTG